TATAATATAATTGAAAAAACTAATTTAAGATCATTCATTAAATGAGCGGAAGAGTTAACTAGTGTAGTACGCTTTCATTTATGACTTCCACTGAATATATGTCAAAATCGATATTTTGAAAAGTTCTCAAGTTTTATTGCTAAAATATATTTGATAAGTATTTTCTAAAAACTTATTTTTTCAGTTGCTTACACAATTCTGCGAATCTATTATAACAGATATCACATTTTTGGAACATAAACAACACAACTGCGCCAAAATATTTAAATTTCATGATCTTGAAATGGGTTATTGCTTTCTAGCCAATAATTTTATGGATTAGTAAGCATCGTTTCTGCATCGTACAGTAGCATATATAGAAACTCTAGCAATAGAAAAACAGGATATACATACATATTTTGCATGATAACTTTCTTTATCACGTTACATGTATGCGCATATGTTCGCACATTTTTCATGGTTTGCTTAACAATTTAAAATATTTCATTTTAATCTTCTGCGAAAATATTAAATTTTTGGGTTGTTCGAGTATCTATGTATGTACTGACGCAATATCTAAATTAAAAACCAAAATTTGGGTTATCACATTATAGTCGCAATTTAGATGAGTTGCCGTTACGACTTAGCCCGTTTGAAGCGAGGAAATCATTAAAACTATTTCTAAAACAAGAATCACTTTGGAAATACGAGGTCTGCAAATTAACATATTTAAAAAATTTTATGTAGAACTATTGTAGTTCAAAAAAATGTAGATGTATGTACATAGCAACGAGGATATACCATATTTCGGATTACTTTCACAAACTTTAGGGCAGGATCATATAAGGTATACTTATAATATGGAAGAAATGCTAAATAGCTTGACAGTAAATGATGAAAGCTTTGAAAAAAGAAAATGCAAGTTTCCACACGAAACAATTTATGGATCCACTTATCACTACAGGTGAGTTGTAGATTTTAATATGCAAGACTTTAGCTTTATACGAATAGATGTAACATAAAATTTTCATATTTAGTTTTTCAACATGCATGTCTGATCTCAGAGTTATTTTGGAGTTAAAATACTGTAATTGCACATTATTCACATCTCCCATTAAATGTAAGTTTTATACAATGTTTACCATAAATTCAAGAGTTATTTTCTTATGCTAAGCTATAAAAATGTGAATTATTTACTCAGTTAAAGGTAAAACTTATTACTAATATTATGGTATATTTTCGAAACATTTTTA